CCGTCGCCACTGACGAAGTGCCTGCGGGCGAATGCAATATTTCAATACCTTGAAATCAAAAGAAAACCAACCTTCAAGAGTTGCAATTGATGGTTCAATACTGGATCCATTCTTCATTTTGGAGTCGGAAATTCCAGATTTTATTGCTGCTATAGTGCTTGCGGAAGAATACGATGTTTCAGATTATAAATGAGAAAACCAACCTTCAAGAGCAATAGCTGGCAATTCTTCAGATAGCTTCAGAACTTCATCCTTTGTTTTGGATGAGCACACTTTTTCTTTTTTGGGTACTGAAGGTGCTTGAAGAAAGATGCGATATTTCAAATTCAAGAAATCAAGAAGATTTAACCTTCAGAAGTGGCAGCTGTTGATTCAACCCCGGACATATCCCCAGTCTTCGTTTCTACGTAGGGAACCCGCAAATTTTTTACCATGGCCGCTGATAAAGCTATTTAAGGATGGATGCAGAATTTCAAGTTGTAAATGAAGAAAACCAACCTTCAAGAGCAGTAGCTGGCAATTCTTCAGATAACTTCAGAACTTCAAACTTCATTTTGGATGAGCACAGGTTTTCTTTTTTATGTACTGTTAAAGATGTTTGAAGAAGGATACGATGTTTCAAATTCATCATTAAAAGGATTCTACCTTCAGAAGTGGCCGTTGGTGATTCAATCCCGGATATATCCCGATTGTTCGCTTCAATGTAGGGATCACGCAAATTTTTTGCCGCAGCCGTTGACAAAGCTGTTCAAGGATGGATGCAATATATTAAGTTCATAAGTCCAAAAAAGCGAACACAGGATTTGCATTAAAGATTTCATCATCCAATTTCTCTATATTTTCCCCATTTTTGTCGGCATTGAACGTCGTTTTTTGCCGTTGCTTTAGAGCAAATGGGGCAAGAATATTATATTTCAAAATTCGTCATAGAAGCAAACCTTTGAAAGCTGCAGTTTGTTTTGTGCTGGATATACTCACACTGTTCACTGTAAAAGTATGAAGGGACATAAAAAATTGAACTAAAAAATAATAAGGCTAACTCTTAGAGGTTCCACTTGATGTTCCAGCTTCCAATTTTATCAAATCTTCAAATATCGGTTCAACGTAAGGCTGTTCAATCGTTTGTTTTATGTCCATTGCGCCAATCCATTGTCGACATTCTTCTTCAGAAACGGCTTGAAATGTTAACGCATCGGGTCTTTCATCAACAATCAAGTCAAAACAGAACCTAAAGTTTAAGATTGAGAGAATTATGCATTTTCGCGAAAAATCTCACCTTTTATCTATGCTGTCAGGGGAACGACGAAAACGCTCCTTCATTTTGAATGAAATCGACGTACCCAAAATCTCGTTCAAGTTCTTAAAAT